ACCCCATAATAGCCGTTTTCCACCTGCATTGATTTCGGAAAAGAACAATAACAGAAGTCTTGAATTTACTGTTTTTTTTAAGTTTTTAGAAAACAGCTATTACTTGCATCTCTCTTTTCAATAGTTAACAGATTTTCAAAGTTTCTTTTTTTAGTTTATAAGGTATTTAGTTCAGAAAGCACTTTTGGAAAAGCTTATATTTACAGGGAACTTTGAAATCGGGAAACAAAGAATGATATGATTTATTTGCACATGTCTAAAAAAGATGCAAATTATGGAAATTCTGGATCATCCATGCTCGTATTCCTTATTGACGAATCCTCACTGCCGAAGTAATCATGCTGAAGAAGTTGAGTAGCAGTGAAACGGCGCGTTGGATCGAATCGTATCATGTTTCGAATGATATTGAGAGATTTTTCAGAAGCTTGCGGAACGGCTTGTTCGAAATTGGTAGTGTCTGAACCGTCAAGTGTGACGTATTGCATTGCCGGAAGATCATTTAGAGTTGGCCATTCATCAGTTGTAGGCTTTCCAAGAACCTTTATTATTTTATTAATCTGGAAAAAAATTATCGGCATTAAATACGAAATTTCAAACGAAAACCCACCATATGAATCTGACTCTCTCCTCGAAACAACGGGTGTCTCCTATAAAACTCTGCCATCACACTCCAGCCGACCAAATATCAACGGCCGTCGTGTGATTGGTTGCTCCTAGGAGAATCTCGATTGGGCGATACCAAAGACTGACTGATTCTGGGGTCATTGCTACATCGGGATCTGAAAATCTAGCCAAACCAAAATCACCAATTCGTAAACAATCGTTTTGATCCACGAAGAGATTTTCCGGCTGAAAAAAATTTGCTAAATAATTGAAAATTTTGATTTTAAGTTCTGTGATTTTACGGTATCCCTAATGATAAAAATTGATATCAAACCTTAATGTCTCTATGAATAATATTCTGTTCATGAATATGTTCTAAGCCTTTGAGCAGCTGCTTCATAAACCTCTGTATTCGAACCGGATGAAGTGGTTCATTAGTGCAAATTTCCTGTAAATCATGTGGATACTTCTCGAATACCATCACATTCCGAAAATCAGATGTTTTAATTGATTCAAGCAGTTTTACAACAAACTCATGGGACAAGAAATTCAGTATTTCCGCTTCACGACTCCCACTTTCTGCATATCTGGCTATTTTGAGAATAACCTGTAATTCAGAGCCAATCTCATTTTAATTTTGATTCACCCATACCGAACTTTGTGTCTTCTTATCAGTTGCCTCGAAAACCTCACAGTCAGAATAGAAATTTGCATTATCAGTAAGTTGGTGGACAAGTTTGTAGTCGCCCACAAAGGACCCCTGCTCAAGCATGACGACTTGTTCTGTATTTACTACTAGTTTATTGCTATCATCTCCAAAGTTTTCCAGATATTTTCAAGCAAAGAAAAATATGCATTACAACCTGCTAGAGTGTTTTTGAATCTGAACAATTTGATTCGGGCTCATTGCCAACAAAAACATCCTTATAGACATTTGAAAGTTGCACCTATAACAAGTTGGGTAAAGAAATATTTCAAGGGAACTCAATGCGAACGGAAGGGTGCATTAATCGATACAATGAATGAAATCTTGAACAGATGAGGCAAGAAACTATGAACAAGACAGAAAAAAGACAAGAAAGTTTCAGATGAGAACAGACGAATTCTGATTATCACGTTTCGGAAAAAGTTCGAAACCGTAAAAATGGAGAATATGACACTTTCGAATCAACCAAGTAATTTTGGTATTGAGATAGCGCTATTCCAAATATACAAAAATGATGATTGAAAACAGATGATTTTAATTAGAACGAGGATTGCTTTGGAAATTGTTCATTGATGGGCGTTCACTGGGATAAAACATCTGAAAAATAGATTAAAATTGACAGGTAAATTAATTGAAATATGAAATAAATCACCTATTGTCGGATAAAAAAAAAGTGACACCTGAAAATCTCGGAGACGGCGCTCGTGTCGATTTACGAGGGGGCGGAGCGAAAACGGATACTGTAGATAACAAATTTATTTATGTGAATTTATTATGCTTGTCTGAGAAAAAAAGGTTGAGACGCAGAGAAAAAATGTCTGCGTCTCCACCGTTTGTGTGCTATTTAGGCTCTCCGCTTCGAAATCGCTACCGTACTAAGACTGCAAAAAATACTCTCTAACCTTTTTTTTCTCAGACAAGCATAATAGTGGGATTTTCTGAACGAAATTTTGATTTCTTGGTATGAAAATGATCGCTAGCATCTCTAAAATCTGTTTTTCAGTAAAAAAAACTAAACTTAAACGCGAAAGTAGCTCGAACGAGCCGAAATTCTGAAATATTACGTTTATGCCGCACTTTTTCGTAGATCAAAAAAAGCAAAAGTTTTCAAATTCTCAGGTGTCGCTTTTTTTAATTCGACAATAATAGAAGCGCATCACGATTCCGTTTTTAGTCTCTTTTTCAAGGAGATTATTTCAAACGGAGAAACGTGCTTCTATTAGAGATATGTTTCTATTAAAGTATTTAGGTGAGATAGTACCTTCGAGCAGTTTCCCGTTCTTCCCCTTCCTCCTCTTGGAGTGTATCCTCCCATCGATGACATAAATGAACCTGGGTTTGACGAATTAAACGAGGTATATTGCTGTGCATTTCCAAGCTGTTGATTTCCTCCATATTGATACACACTGTTGCTTCCGTAATCATATCCATATTCGTTTGTATGGTATGAATGTGGATTTGATGTCCAGTTTTGATCATGATGGTGATAGATCGAAGATGATGCGGCAGATTGAGTTTCAGGTACCGAATTTCCAATCGAGCTGGTGATTTGTTGATGATTCGATGTATTAATGTTTGGAAGATATCCGTTTTCAGGAGGAATTCTGGCAGTGAAATGGGAGTCAGAATTCAAAGTTTTTGTAGGCTGTGCCGTAGAATTATTCCTCTGATTCCGATTAACATATTGGTTGGAAGCTCTTGAATCAAAACTGGTATTCTGATTGGGTTCCTGAAATATGTGCCATAAAACAACCAGATACTGAAGACCAACTAGCCTCTTTCCTACTATTTTGAAATTTGTTTTTCTGATACCCTCCTGGACGATATTTATGCGAAAATGATCTGGATGTGGGAACTGGCATGTCAACTGGATGGTAGTTGTGATTATTGTGCTCCGAGTCCAACAAATAACGGATCACTTCCAGCATTCTCTGAATGTTAGTTTTTCACAGCTACATTTTTTCTCAACAAACTTTTTGACCAAGAGGAGTTTCACTTCCGAAGTAATGAGGCTTCGCTATGCCATCTAAGAAGAACTGCATAAATTTGTGTCGAAGTCGTAGAAAGTTTCGCATCGTCTGAAAAAAAAAATGTATTGTGAAAAACAGAAAGACGAATACCTTATTTTCAGCTTTGACATTGTACCACTCATCCAAATTGAATGTGCAAATATCGGCTCCAAAAGTCAATTTTTCCTCTTCTAATGGCGCCTCGTCTTCTCCTTCTCGGAAAACTGCAATTTACAAATAATTCTAAAATCAAAAGGAACCATGAAACTAACGAATTCGATGTTCCTCAACAGCTTGCTGACTGATTCTGATTGGACCAGTGAAAATTAGAGCCGTAAGAGCTGGGATCGCAGTTACAGTCTTCATTGAGAGCGATTGATCGGATGTCATGAGACACATTTCTTGGAAAACGACATATTCCAGACGAGGACCAGAAAATACTTGTTTGTTCAATTTCAAATTTGCTTCTTCAATATAGATGATGGATGCAATCCAGCCTTTTGATCATTACTGAAAAGTGATGAATATAACTTTTTCAAGAATATTACTGACTTACAATGTTTGTACTTTTTTCAAGTTCGAATCAGCAGTACTAACACCAATAGATGGATAACAACCAGCTGCGATGGCAGCTTGAACCATCGTCCAACTGTTTGAATGGGCGTTGTAGTTTGAATCGGAGAGAAGCATCATTATATCCTTCTCTGGTGCAACAATCACTTTGGCTCGAACCAGTTCTTGAAGTAGCTGGTGACGAGTTCCTTGGACCATTTTCATTGTGGCCAAATTGAGGAGATGTTCACGACAGAAGTCGTTCTGTTCCTTATATGTGACTTTCGAGCAAAATGCGGTACACAATCGAATGTACATAAGGTGATCAGAGAAATCCTGCTCAGCCATTTCAAACTTCATTTTTGATTGCCTCTCGCGTTCATCCGACTGGGCAAGAACATCTGAGAATTCGAATTCGGAATGATTTAAAATAATAATTTTACTTACATGGCTCTCTTGAAGCTAGCAAGGCAACTAAATTAACAATTGGAGCGAGACATTTCAGTGACAAACCGAACAGCAACATTCGAGAAAGTTGAGGATCCAATGGGAGTCGAGCCATTAATCGTCCTAAATCAGTCAACTCAGGATCCACTTCTTCGGTGGTTTCTTCATTTTCATTTTCATCTTCGTTTTGACCAGAATCATTATTTGGTCTGTAGAATGCGCCAAGTTGCTCCAAAAACGCCATTGATTGAATAATCGACTTTTCCTCTGGTGGTTCCGGTGCCAATGCCAAAAACTCAGAGATTTTCATGCAATTTGGAGCAAAAATTTTCGCATGAAGTGTCACATCGTAAATAGCCGCTCGTTTCATTTCAGCCATTTGTGTCTCTGGCATCGAATTGAATTTGGCTTCCGAATAAAGTCGAATACAGTAACCATTTCTTACTCTTCCTGCTCGTCCTGATCGCTGCTCTGCGTTGCTTCTAGCAATGGGTTTAACAGATAGCGTACTCAGTTTAGCTTCGTGATTGTACGACTTCTCTTTTACTTTACCAGTATCTACAACAAAGATGACGTCTTCAATGGTGATAGATGCTTCTGCAATGTTGGTTGCAAGAATCTGAATAACATATTTTAAACTGATATGAACCACGGTTTAAGGAACTTACAATCTTTCGAATATCACTGGTAACTGGTTTGAAGACGTCCGAATGATTGATACTATGCATCTGTGAATGAAGCGGAATAACGGATACATGTTTCATATTCTTTAAACCAAGCTTCCATTTGTCGATCTATAAATTTATCTATTTAGTTATTTTCTTAATTAGGAAAACATACTTTGCCCATCATAAGCTGAATATCATCAAAACCAGGTAGAAAAACCAAGATTGTTCCAAAGACCGGACTGTCCGCCAGATACTGTATGACGTGATCCAGAAGATGGTGATCGATAGAGTTCTCAAAGTCTGTTCCATAAAACATGTCATATTTTTCAGCGAAGCGAAGCTTGGCGAAATCGATACGTTCAACTAATTTATCCATATCTGTATCATAGTGTGACGTTCTTTGTGGAATCACAGATTTGAGCTCTGAACGGAATCGCTGCTCCAGCATCTGCGATATACGCTGCTTCTCCTGAAAAGAATCAAATATTAGGATCCGAAAATTGTTAATTATGAACTCACTCCAAATTTACCGAAATCGTCAGTAGAAAACTTTGCAAGGCCACTGGACGCAGTTGACGGCGTGTTGGTTTTTTCGATAGAGGTTGGAGATGCATCCGCAAATAGTTCTTGGGTGATTTGGACACTTTCAGAACACAGTGTAGTTGGCTCAGGAATTGCAAGACGAGAAGTTGAATGAGTTTCATCTAGACGGTACATCACTGGATATTCAGGCATTGAATTCCGATCCAATTTCTGTTTCTCCAACAAAACTTGCGACTGGGTTTTATCCGTATTGTACCTAACGCCGTTCACGTATACTGAATCTCGACTGTCCGGCAAAAATTCTACAGTTAATGCAGGTATTTTAGGACATCCTGTGGATTTGAAAAACAGTCCCATCGTTTTCTCATCAATTATTTCACCATCGGAACATGTATATTGACCTGAGGACCATTTGTTTCCGACTGCAGTGGTAACTGAATTGATGCCACGCTGCTGATTGACGACACTGAAGACATTTTACGTCTTCAGAAAAAAAAACAACATCGGATAACTTACCCCTCAGCGCAGGTATTGCTTCCAGAAGTCTTCTTAATCTGAGTGTTGGTTGCAACTGAGCCGTTTTTCGTTTCAGAATTGTTGGATCTTTTATCTTCCTTTTGTATCTCCTTGATTTCTTCTTCCCATTCTTCTGTTTTAAACTCAACTCCTGAGAAGAAAACCTGATGTTCGGGAGGCTGATATCCAGACATAGCAAGAATCTGATCGATGTAGAACGTCTTCACATCGAAAGTGCGAGATTCGATACGAAGAACATCAACACTTTGATTTTGGAAATAACTCGAAAACAACTGCATGTTTCCCTCAATCGTCGCCGACATAAGAATCACTTTAAGATCTTTTCGATGCTTGAGACATTCACGCAAAGCGATGAGCAGATAGTCCGTATTAATTTCTCGCTCATGAATTTCGTCCATAATGATGTGGGTTATTCCAGAAGCGATGGGATCCGATGTGAGCATACGAAGAAGAACTCCAGTTGTGCAATACGTGAGAAGCGTCTTTTCTGACGATCTGAAACAAGATAATTCTACCGGATGATGGTTTTTGTTACACTACCTGTTCTCTAGCCGAATCTTGTAGCCGACTGTATGGCCGAGAGATTCACCTCGTTCTTTGGCGACACGCTCCGAAATGGAAATAGCCGCAAGACGTCGTGGTTGTGTCACCATAATGCGAACTTTCTTCTTCTTTTCAGCTGCATCGTCCAGAATGAACTGAGGAACTTGAGTTGTCTTTCCACATCCAGTGCCTCCGCTGATGATGACAACTTCGTTATCATCAATAGATTTCAAAACTTTCGTTTTATATTTCGACGCAGGTAACTTATCCCTAGAACGAATATACGTGTTATTTACATGGGTCATCTTCATACCTGATTTTCTTGAGATCCTTCGGACAAGCGGAGACCGGTGGAATTCCCGTCTTATTTCTAGACGAACCCGTTTTTGGCTGGAATTCTTTTGCGTTTTTCTGGTCGAAAAATCGATTCATATCATCTTCTGTGATAGGGTTGGCTTTAACAAATTCGTTAAGATGCGAAAGGCACTCGGGAGATGGGATAATCGGTTGGGTAGTCACAAGTGAAGATCGCGTCAATCTATTCTCACGATATGATAGAATTATGCAGCGGTTCGGTTCTTTTCCTGTACTTCTTGTGGATAGTCCGTTATGTTGAGCGACTTCATGCATCACTTTTCTTTGTTCTCGAGACATCACATCTAGCGTTATGTGCATGTTTCCACTTTGTAGAAATCGTTTGATGATCTCTTTTGCTTCTGCTTTGTAAATCGCGCATTCTCCTGCATCAAGTTTATTAGGTCTATAAAATTTGTTTAAAGACCTGATTCATCATTTCAAAAAAAATACATACCCGTTTTTACTCCTCCACCATCTCGAAATGGATTCCGGCTTCCATGAGACTTTTTACCCTGTTTGTCTGACATCTAGCTGAAAATGTGAATGTTGAATATCCATAAAAGTATTCTTTAACGTTTGAATTGAATGATTGAAGAAAAGATTCACACAGAAACACTGAAAAAGAAAAATTGATTTCCAAAAAGAAAACTGTTATTCAACTAGAAACACAGTAACGCGGAAGAAACATGAGCAAAATTTATTGTTTAGGTCTCGGCAAGAAAATGTTACTGTACCGTACCGAAGGCGGCACAAATGCTGAGCTTTAATTTCAGCATACTTGTAAAAATCGTTGAAGGCCCGGACAAGAATTTTTTGGTCGAAATTTCTCAAAAAAAAATTTTTTTTTGATAATTTTTTGAGAATTTTTTAACAAAAAAACTAGTTTTCGAAAGAAAACTGTTATTTTGCTTCAAAAATGCAGTTTTTTCTTCGATATCAACTTTGGAAAAATTCAGGAAAAAAAATATTTTTCCAAAAATTTGTTTAAACATTTGCAAATTCAATATATACAATTTAGCTTAAAATTAGATGATAAAAACAACTTTTTCCCAAAAAAAAAACACTTTTTTTGCGCAAAAATCGAAGCTGGCGCCAACTGGCCGGGCCTTCCGGGCCTCCCGGGCCGGGCCTTGACCAATTTTTTGAAGGCCCGGCCCGGCCCGTTGCAAATATGAATTTCAGCTCATCTTCTCCCGAAAATTTTTTTCAATATTTAAATACTTATTTATTTTTGTTGGAAATTTTTGAATGCTAGAAATTTTAATGAAAAGAGACAACTCGTAGATAATCTCTACAAAGGCGGGCCGACTGGATTGATGAAAATTCCTGAATCAACCCGGACCGGCCCGCGAAATATGACTTTCAAATCTCCCGAATAATTTTTAAATTTTCGGTCATCAAAATGAACACGGAAGCGACGGATTCTCAACTTAGCGTTTTAATAAAAAGTTAGTACATATCACCTCCAGCTCAACTAGACCAACAGTTTCAGAAGAAAAAATTGTGCCTGACTCGCAGGAGGTCGATGGAAATACAACTCGAGAACTCGGTGATAACACACTAGACGAAATCATTGTGAGTTTTTTTTTTCACGAAATCTCCTGTCTTTCCCTTCAATGATCTCGTATGATAATTTTGCAGAATGGTCAGTTCTCACCGCTGATGTCCCAAAATTCGGAGAACGAATTGGAAAAGCATTTAAGAAGCACTCCAGGGTAAAACTTTTATTTATCTGAATTTTTATGCTTCTGATAATTTCATTTTCAGAATAGAAGGTGTGTTCGAAAGTTTATTGCACAATGAGATACAAGAGCCAGATATAACACATTTATCTCTCATGTCCACTCATCCATCAGAGTCAGGAAGACAACCAGAGCTGATAAAAACTAGAACAAGAACGCCGCGTATTGTAAATGAGTGAGTAATGCATGATATTCTGAAACAAAAGCAAATATTGTCAGCGGGCCCCTACAACAAACTTCAAGAAGCGAGCTTCTTGATCTCAATGCATTGTTTGACACCGAAGAATCGGCTCTAATGAATCAGTCAATAGAGTCTGTGAGTTCTTGAGTTTTGGTTTATTCGATTCAGAGTATCATCCTGGAACAAAATAATCGGAGCAGGGGACTCGGCAATAATTGAAGAAACGAAAATGCATAGAGCTTGCGCACTTTTTGCGAAAAGCATTTTTTCGTGATTCATATTTTTAATTTGTTACGGCGTTTCGTTCATTCTTCCGTTATTTTCTTTCTAGCGAAAAAAATTCACGAAAATCGAGAATAAAATGTTGTGAATGAAACTATTTGGGTTACGGTATCTTTCGTTCTAGGCTTCTCGGCCGCGGCTACTGGTGTTTCTCTGCCACGGCTCCCATATTTTGTACGAGAATATCATCATAATTTGTTATGTTTTTTTCAGGAAACAACGCTCACACAGTTTTTGGGTGGTTCGCAGCCTATCGATTATCTCAGAGAAAGAACCAAAGAAGAACAAGATAAGGTCAGACTGACATTGTTCAGAATTTCAAAAAAAATATTTTAGCGCAACCAAATGAGACAAGAAGAGAAGCTCATAAAGAAAATGCAGAAGGCTCAAGTCGAAAAAGCTAGAAGTGAAATGTTTTCAGAGAGAAATCATGAGTTTGAACCAATGGAATGCGATAATGATGAAGAAGATGTCTTCAGAGCTGTGTAAGAACATTTCTTGAACAGAGGAACTTGAAAATTGTTTCAGTAAGGAAGATTCATCGAACAGAGAAAAAGAAGAAGAATGGCTGACGTTTGAAGTGAAAAAGGAGAGAGCGTCAAAAGTTTCTGATTTTGAGTTCGAAACAGTTGTGAATGATGGCATATACTTGTGGGCAAAAATGAAGTGCAACATTCCTTTCATAGTAAAGTGGAATGTTTCATCGTGTCACAAGCAACTGTTTTTGAAGGTCCGAGTAAGTGTATTGCAATGGTTTGAATCAAAGAGCTTCTGATTTTATACAGCTGGTCAACTACATGGCTTCCGACAATATTGAAAACTCTATTCGCGTTCCATCAAATCTTGCTAAGTGCCATAATCACAGAATGACGGAAGAAAAGACTCCCCGAGAATCATTTTTTTACGTAGTCAAGTCTGGTGAACATTGGACACCACAGATTAATAGCAAAAAAGGTATAGTGTGATTGAAAACTTTGCATTACTCGAATCACAAAATTTCAGATCAATGTTTTGTTGCAAAACTAGCACCAGGAACCACTCAGGTTCTATTCGATTTGATTTTCAAGTGCCAAAGAAGTTGCTTGGACTTAGCAGAGAGAAGAAAACGAATGTGCCTCGCGGTGTTCTTAGAAGACGAGAATGGGTTAGTGAGGGCCGTGGAAGAGAATGTACAGTCACGGCCAGAGATATTGGTTCATTTGAAATCTAACTAAACAAGAAAGGGAAGAATTGTAGCTCCGAAAACAAGTTGATTGCAGAAACGAGTTACTCCACGATGTCATCAAACAACTTCTGATTGTCGGATATCCGAGGCGTGATTGGAAGAATTTCTGTGAAAAGCGTGGAGATTTCAAGTTTTCGGAAAAATCTCTTTTGGTTCAAACTACAAACAATATTTTCGCGGATCAGTCTTCTCTTCATTCCGGTCCATCTTCACCTGAAAAGGTCACAGATACTTCACAGGTGTGCTTTTGTCGAAACATGTCTTCTTTCATCGAAGCACCATTGTCCAAGTAATCCGATATGGTTCCTCCGGAACCCGTTAAAAATTATTGGCGTTTCCTGAAGTAGACATTTTGTTTACTTTTTATTTTCGCTCAAAATAATATTTTCCCTCAGCAGATGTTTTTTTTTTAATGCAGTACCATATTTACAGATGTTTCAATCAACATCGTCCTCATCTAGAAAAAGAGCTGCCAGCGATGTGAAGTTTGTAGCGTCCGCTGTGCCTTCATCTGATCAACAATCCTATCCTATGAGACTTCATGGATGCGAGTCTCGGCGCATGGAGATGAGTTTCTATAGAAAATTCAAGGAAAATGAGGATTCTTTATCCAATAAAAGACCCCGATCGCAGTATGGTCTTCAAAGACAAGTGAAGGTCAGTGATGGACAGTTCTCCTCGTTTTTTTCTTTCGCCCAAATCCGATTAACCTAAAAATGTTTCTTTTCAGCTTTCAGAGAAAGAATATTCCAAATTCGTTGCATTTTTTGCTAAGGAAGGAGAAAATGAAATATCAAAATATGCTTCCGCCCACTGCCTGACTCCGGCACAAGCTAGTAGACTTGATCCATCTGACAAAATCGAGAAGTGAGTTTTCGGACATAGTAACTAACTGAAAATGTGCTTACAGGTTTCTTGCATTTGTTGGGGACGAATCTGCTGCAGACAACTTCCGGAAGCACGGATTGTTTACGATGTTAGACTTAGATAAATACTTTCAAGTATACGACAGTGCATTCGAAACAATTGGAGTTGATTCCTCCAAAATGGAGAAGTATTACGATTTGTTCCTCCATTATCATCGTGTGCAGGAAAACATCAGGTAACACTGTTTTCAGTTACCATGCTCGATACAGAATTTTCAGATACAATCAGCCGAAATGATACGATTCAATGCTGCTGAAAACCCAAACATTTTATTATAAGGATACTCACGAGCACTCGTTCTCGTTCGTTTTATAATGTTCTCTTTTATAAAATCTTGCTCCCTTTTGTTGTTGTTAACATAAACTATAACCAGAAAACCGCTGACATCAACGGTTCGGAATTTCAGACATTCATTTTAACGAAATTCTTTATCGTAAGGATAACGAACAGAGAACAACAAAAATGATTTAAATGAATCCGATCTTGTTGGCGACGTCAAGAGCATCATAGTCGGAAGCCAATCGCACGAATGCCTTCTTTTGCTGAAGTGGAGTGATGAGGGTGTTAACCTGAAGAGAAAAACTAGAAATGAGGATTATACAGATTATACACACCTTGACAGCTTTGACATTGTAGAGCGATTGAACAGCGCTCTTGATGTGATATTTGTTGGCCTTCTCGTCAACGATGAATACGAGAGTGTTGTGATCCTCAATCTTCTTCATCGAGCTCTCGGTGGTGTGTGGGTGCTTGATGACGTTGAAAGCATCGAGCTTGCTTCTGTTTGGAGCCGACTTACGGGCGAACCTTTAAAAACACTGGTTACCGAGACATTATCAGCTTTAATCTCACTTTGGAGATCTTTCAGTGGTGAGGGTTTTTGGTCGTCTGAAATGAACCGAGGTGCGAACATTTTTACGAACGTTGGTCTTGTTTCCCTTAACAACTGCTTTCTTGGCCTTGAGAGCCTTTCCCACTTTGTTTGATGACGGAGCCATGTCTGAATAGAAAAATAAAGGTAGCATTTACGAAAAATTTCAAGAATTTAAAGATAAACGAGCAAATTTAGGCCTAAGTACGTAATGTTTTGAATAAGCAAAGCATCGCAATGTTGGTGAGAGCGCAGAGAACACTCGATTGGCGCCAGCAAACCCCGATGAAGAAAATTGGTTACTTTGCGCTTATGTCGATGGCGATATGTCCGAAATATGGAACAAGATGAAGATTTTCGAGACAAAAATAAGAGAAAAAGCTCTAGAGTTAGTTCGACTTCAACAAATATTCGAAATTTTATGGCGCGTCCAAAGTATGAAAACCGTACAACATACCGTCTAATGGGGTTATTCAAAACGTAATACCGGCTTTTTTGTTTTTTAAGCTTAAAAATGCATGTATGCACAAACTCTCATTCACCGTGTTTGAAGAAAAAATTCCCAAATGACCCCCAGTAGCACAGTCCCACACAATTCCTCAAACAGTGGAAGAGTACTGCCGGACGTTGGACGCGACATAAGGTTTCTGGAGTAATACATAAAACACAAAAAAAAACCTATCAAAAACCGGCGAAAATCGGCAAAAAGACGAGAAAGATTTTAGGAATCAAAGGAATCGAACACCAATTTAGGATTCAAGTACTGTAGTGAAACTCGCGTCGAAACCCATCAATGTCGAACGCCTATGTTCCTTTGAGTGTCGTGCGCCTTTAATGCGGGATACAACTAATTTTTCATGAAAAATATTGGAAAAAAGAGATCCAAAAGAGCCTCTGTGAAAATAAGAAAGTAAATAAATACAAAAATTGAAAATTTATTGAAATTGACAACTCCTCTCACTATCAATTAGATTCTCTTTCTCGAAACAAGTACCTTTTGAGTATTTTTTTTTTCAAGTTCGAGTTCGAATTCGAAATTACTCGTACCCAGAGCAAACGATTCGTATGATCAAACATGACGACTTGTAAGGATATTCGCACGTCGATATAAGCTTCCAGTGCCAAAAACGGAGTCAAAGTGCTCCGTGACGTTTCGAAGCTTTTGAGTAAATATTACCGCACCTTGTTCCAGATACGGCTCTGTATCATGCGCAATGATGAGTAGATACCAGGACAAATAATACACTATGATCTGTTTGTAACCTTCAAGCATTTTTTTAATCCTCCGTTTCTCCAGTTCTAACAGTCGATTTCACTTCTTGTCTGACGATGCATCGTTTTTTCCTTCTCCTGTTTTTCACGTCTAATGTATTTTATTCGGAAGCCATTCGATGTCGTAGCTGCTACAGCTACAATGGTCAAGCTTGTGTGAATGCACCTGACTGTGAATCGGATGTTTGTTTATACGGTATCATTTTTATCAGTTCTTTATAAAAACAAGATTGATTTCTATAGAACAACTGAACGCTGCCAATGGGATAACACATGTTCTCCGAACCTGCTATACAAAAGGGAAAGCTTACATGTTTGATGATGGTGTTACTATGAGCAATTTGAACCAATGTGTAACACGAACCACACGACAGGGCCAATACTATGTATCTTTGTGCACTTCTCAAGATATGTGCAACAATGATTGTCGAACAGAACAACAACCGATACAACCAACTCTTCCCCCAGTTAATCCACCCGTCCCTCTTGGTTCTGTTACGTGTTATGATTGTGTCTCAACAGATGGTACAGACTGTCAAACAAGCACATGTCAAGGGGCATACTGCCTATATGGTTCGTCTTTCAGAGAAAACCTTGATCATTCCTGTATACTTTAGAACGTCGTCTCACTAATAATCAGATGTACCTTCGAAAATTGTGTTTAGTTGAACCTGTAATCCAGCTGGACGATGAAACTACTGTAACTAACGTAGATATTTGCGAAGTTAGAAATACAGTATCTAGTCGTTATTTTGTCAAAATTTGTAATGATCTGAATCTCTGCAACAACTACTGTAATCCAGGCCAATCACCTCCTCTCCCACAAAGACGTACGATCAAACTTACCTATTTCAAGAACATCACGCTTATTTTTTCAGAGCCACTGGTTCGTTGCTATGACTGTGAAGCATCCAACGCAGACTGTTTTACAGGATCCTGCGAAGGAAACTTCTGCATTTTCGGTTAGAAAAGTTACTTTCTCTAATAAATTCTTCTGTATATGTTCAGAGAGACAAATTCGTAGTGGAACTTCCAAAACATATTTCCGTAAATCATGTTCAAGTCTGCCATATGCTCAATACCCAGATGGATCCTATACGGGAGTACCAAATGTATGCAGCACAAAAGTGATCAATGATGTAGAATACAATGTGAAAGTCTGTAATACTGGAAACATGTGCAACTCGCAATGCTCCCTTGACTCATCAGCAGGTAACATTATCCTATTACTGTAGCTTTAGATATAAATACATTTCCAGTCACTTGCACTCAGTGCTCTGCTATAAATTCTGATGATTGTAGTGGAGGAACCTGTCAAGGACGTTTTTGTATATTTGGTAAGTGATTCCAAGATACAATCTCTCTAATCTGAAATAGTTTAGTGCGATCGAAATCACAGCTTGATCCGACCAAAACCACTGTTAAGAAGTCATGTGCCACGACTTCAATTCTTAGTTTTCCGGACAACACCCCATATACAGATGTGAATCACTGTCAATACAAGTAGGACCTTTTTTGAGAAACTTTAATTCGGAAATTTTATTTTTCTAGAACGCTAGGATCAGTTCAAACTGTGCTAAAGGCATGCAATACAACCTTCTGCAATACAGCGTGCTCAGATGTGCCCCTACCAACTCCTTCACCACAAAACTCTGCCGTAAATTTTCTAATCCTCCCTTCGATGTTTACTGTTTTAGTTTCAATGTATTATGGAAGCTGAATTGAATTATCTTGGATGATTAATCTATACATTTTGATTGAAATAAATAATTGTATTTAAATATTATGTTTTAAAAATCACTTTAATCATTTAAATATCATATTTTGCATAACTGAGAGATGTGTCGCCGGATCGTTCGTTTTTTCTCGCTTCAAAGATCAAGCTGTAGGTCGAGCTGTAGGTTTTTGAATAAGTCTGGAAACGGTGAGACCACACAGTTTCCTCAAACATTTTATTTCACTCTTTAAACACTTTGCATGCTACCATGACTCATGAGAAAAAGGGTTCGGTCAGACCATGGGGCGGAGCCGAGACCCCGCAAATTCCGGGGAAAAACCGGGGAAAGTGGGCGGAGTCGAGAAAATCCGTGCGGCAAAACCGTGACAGGGTTGCAATTTAGGCT